GTATCTCCAGACTGGTTGAGACCGGGAGAGGCTCTTTTTTTCCCTTTGCAATCGGTGAACAGCTGGGGGAAGGGACGCGACCAGGACAGGCCCGAATAGCGGCACACGCTGGAGCCTTTTTTTGCAGTCTGGCACCCCCTACTGGCCGGCGGATGACCAAGAGCCAATGATTCGCTATCCGCGCCGACTATGGCCACGACGTGCAGCAGACGGCCCTGATTGCGAATTGGGCAGCTCAAAGGGTTTAATAAATGAGAGCTGAGAGCTGGAGAGGAGGGAGGGAAGGGAGGGGGAGGGGAGGGAAAAAGAAGAAGCTGGGCTGAGGACGAGGGTTGGTAGGAGAGAGGTTGCCGTAGGGAGTGGGAAACGGGAACAAAGGCAGAGTAAAATTTTAATGAGGCCTTAGACGATACAGCGAACGGGCTAGCAGGCACGCAACTGTGTGGGATTAGGGTGGTTTAGCATGCTTTCCGCCTGACCCAGCTGGACCCTGAATCCCGGGTGGGACATACATTTTGTGGCAGCCAAGGGGATTTCAGGGTCTGGCCACACTAGAGTCGCATTTGGGCTGGAGGCTTCCCGGAGCCGGCAGTAACGTAGCGAAGACTCGCCTCTAACTAACTGTGCCAGTACCAGTTGCAGCAGCCAACAAGCAGTCGGTTGGCCTGTAACCCACTCACTAATCTGGTGGTTCCAGTACATGTAGCTTTGCTGTTGGGCTGTACAGCACCTGTTTGACACTTGATGGCTTGGGGGGACAGTTTCAAGTCCGGGGGATACATACAGATACCGCTTCAAACACCAATTCTCGACAAGGAGAAGGCACGCAGACACAGACACTGACACTGACACTGACACTGACACAGAAGAAGAGAAAAACCCACCCGTTTAATAATACAAGGCTAATGCAGAGATGCTGGCCCCCCCTCCTTCAGATGCCGGGTTCACATGCGCCCTTGGTTTGGGTGACAGGAGCACACCAAGTTTTTTCTGCCTTGCTGTTCACATGGCGGGGTGCCCAGCTTTTTTTTTTTTTTTTTTTTTTTTTTTTTGCCCTTCTCTTTGCCCCAATCCAAAGCTGCTGGGCTGGGCCATCTCCACCAAAGACCCCGCCGGCCGATTGTGCTGGTGACGGACTTGGGAGGGCATTCAGGCGGTTCCCCCCTATCGGATGGCCTCTCGCACTGCTATCTCAGTGTGGCCATACGAGTACACACACTCGCACACTCACTCACACACACGAGCGGACGGACGTTGGGAATGTGGCAACCGTCGGCACGCCGCGGCGGGGAATAACATGGGCTATGGATGGTCACCAGCATATTCCCGCCCAGACCCATCAGGAATTGCGTGCAGCAGCACTAACATGACGGTCACATCTCAATGCTCGCTTATGGAGGCATGAAGTGACGGCTCAGATGTTTGTTTTTTTCTTCTTCTTCCCGTGAGGCTGAACGGAGGGTCTCATGTGAAATGATGATGAATAACCCAACAAAGTTGTTGCGACTGGGAAAAACTTCATCATTACGTCATTGTTGCCAAATAGTGTTTTTGAGCCATCTCCCAATCAACAGCTGCGGTGACTGGGGACCGCCACCGAGAGCTATTCTGGGCGCCTCTCTTGTGGCTGTAAGTTGACGAGTGTGATGGATGGATGTATCCTTACTAACTTGGGGCAGTTGATATGATGCACTACTAGGTATCTTACCTTGTCACAGCTGGTTACATGCCGAGGGTCGAGACGGAATTAATAGGAGGTACTAATGCATGTGGCTACAAAGAGCCGTTACAGGCGGAGCCGTCTCCTACAAAATACCTGCAATGCAATATCAACAGTCTTCTCTGGGTGCATTTCTAGGGACGAGGTCTCGGAGGCCCCTCCGTGCCGTCTCGTGCTAGCAACGGCTCTCGCTCGCTCGCTCCCTTGCGAATCAATCAATAATATAGTAGTATGTATAGCCCATGTAGGTGCATGTAATGCATGTATGTACGGCCTAGCATCAAGCACAGCAACAGGGGGCGAACCAACATCAACAACAACGGCGCGCTGCGCTATAAAAGCAGCGTAAACCTCAACTGGCATACCGGCCTGCTTACCGGATCTGAGACATTTTGCTCGGCAATCATGTGAAGAAGCAGGGCGTTTCCTGGTTTCTTCAACTAACAAGCGACGATGTTTCGCTTCGATGCGGCATGTCTCGCATCGGGCCTTGGCGAGCTCTGAGCGCCGTAGTAGCGCCTTCAAGGGCAGAGCGCCAGCGTCGGGCCAAGTCTTGCTGAGCTGCAGCAATTCAGCCTGTGAACCAGAGGTTTGGTAGCCCCCCCAACGCTTGAAGAGATTCGTATTCAACTTATGTTGTTAGCTCACGCGCAACTCCAATCAGTATCAATAGAATCCTCCATCCTTTGCACCCACGACTATTGATCTTAATATAAATATAGCACCCACCCATGATCCAGCGCCAACACGCTCAATTCCACCTTGCCCAAGCAATCGCATCAACTCTAACGAGACTCCGACGACCAGCGCATACGAACCGCCCGGATCAAACGGTCCTCTCGCATAGCAGCATCTCCCACATATAAAACAAAAAAGACCTCAGCGCGCTACCTACTAAAAGCCTGGGCGGCATGAAAAATCTACATGCTACCTACCTCCCTAGGTCTAGCATCAATATAGCTGGGCACACTAAACGCAGTGCCGAATTCCGGCCCTCGAAGGTCTTTGACGTTGACGTGATGCTTTCTCCAATTCCGACGTTCCAAGCGTGCATGCAGACCGCGGCATCCCTGCAGATCCGTGCTTGACAATGCGCACATTGTACATCAAGCAAACGTGCGGTTGCATTTTTTGGCATTTTGTTCGCTTTCTCCAACAAAAAAAAAAAAAACTCCCTTTCGCTGTGCCCATTTTGAGGATTCATTCCGTTTTCTCCCTTCTAGAACCATTCTCGTAGTTTGTGAAATAGCAGCCCAGCACGCTGGATACGTTAATGTTCTTTTTTAACCTTGACCGTAGTGGCAACGCCCGCCTGAACTCAGCCCGAAGCCTTATCTTATCTTGCCACGCGCCTCTGACATAACCCCGCGCGCACGCAGCTCTTTCCATTTGAATTTTGGCGCAACCTTCAACTCCCCCAAATGGAAAAATAGAGCAACCCCGCCATCCAAGCATCCCGGACCTCCAAGTTTGATTTGCACCGCTCCAAGCAGGATAAAACAAAAAAGGAGAAGGGGAAAAAGGGAAAAAGGAAGAAAAATCACCATCCAATATTCAACATAGACTGAACACGAGCCCCGGTTCCGATATACGGTCCCACACCGCCCTCCTTTGCAATCAGGCCAAACAATCATCAACAGCCTCGTCTTTTTCTTTTGCTTCGTTTCCCAGCTACAGCTACGATCATGCCCAAGACACAGCCCAACCTATACGCCTTCCCGGGCCAAGATGCCCTCGCAGATGCTCTCCGCGCATACGTAATCCAGAGCCAAAACGCCGGCATCGAGCGGCACGGCGTCTTCAAGGTGGCCGTGTCGGGCGGCTCGCTGCCCAAGACGCTCGCCGCGGCGCTGCTGGCACCGCCCTCGGGCCCCGAAGACACGGTCGACTTTTCCAAGTGGGAAATCTTCTTCGCCGACGAGCGCGCGGTGCCGCTGGACCACGCCGACTCCAACTACGCCCTGGTCAAGGCCGAGCTGCTCGACAAGCTGCCCGCGGACCGGCAGCCCGCCGCCGTGCACGCCATCAACACGGAGCACCTCGGCGACATCCAGGAGCTCGCCGACCAGTACGAGCAGACGCTCGTCGCCAGCTTCGCCTCGCGCGACTCGGTCCGCCTGCCCATCTTTGACCTGCTGCTGCTCGGCTGCGGGCCCGACGGCCACACCTGCTCCCTCTTCCCCGGCCACGAGCTGCTCCGCGAGGCCGACGCCTGGGTCGCCCCCATCGAGGACTCGCCCAAGCCGCCCCCCAAGCGAATCACCCTAACGCTGCCCGTCGTCACGCACGCCGTCCGCGTCGCCTTTGTTGCCACCGGCGGCGGCAAGAAGGACATTATGAAGCAAATCTTCGACGCCGGCGCGGGCTTGCCCTGCGCCCTCGTCAACGAGGCTGCGGGAGACCGGTGCAGCTGGTTCGTCGACGAGCCCGCCATCGAGGGCGTCAGCTTTCCCCGGAGGGCGTACCTGTAATGTAAAAGGACGGGCTGAGCATGGGGAATGGCGGCACTCTCGGGATAGGATAGGAGATGGAGGGAACGAGATTCGAATTTGATGATGACGCATGACCACAGCAAATGATGAGACGACGCGAAGAAACCGTGATGGGCAGCAGATGGGCAAACAGCATCTTTGAAAAGAAAAAGAAAAAAAACAACTAAAGAAAAAAAAAAAGGAAAACGAACCAAACAACCTCCCATGTGTGAAGCCCGCCGCCTCCTCCATGAATTTTGGTTTCTTCTTTTCTTCTCATTTTGTCCCCCTTTATCGCTTTCGCTGGGAGGTTATTTTTGAAACCCTTTGAAAAGAAAAAAGCTTGTCTCACGGTTGTATTTATCACATCTTTATGCCCCGGCTTCGAGGAGCACGCTGGGCTTGTTCTTCCCCCCCCCCCCCCCTTTTTTTGGTCGTTACTTAGATTACATGATGCTTTCACCGGAAAGAAACTTCTCAAATTTTTTCCCCCAACATGGCAAGACGGATTGAAAAAATCAATCTAGTGGAACTATATCGCTCGTGATGACGCTGATGCTAAATGCTTGCTTGATGCCAATTTAATGATGCTGCTAATGATGATGGTTCTGTTGCCCGTCCCAGCGTTGGATGTATCATCCCCCTTTGTCGCAGTCGTTATGTCGTCAAAGGTCATGTTCTTGTCAAAAGAAAAGAAATAATACAAAAGCAATAACAAAACCAGACCAGAGAAGAAAAAACAAGGGAAAGAAGAAAGGAAAAAAAACAAACCAATCATCAACACCCCTCTCACCATGAAACGGCTCCCTTCACATTTCGTTCCAGGCACCTCTCACCCGCGAGACCCGGAGGTCGTCATACTCATGCCTATTCATCTTCTCGATCCACTCATCTTCCCTCGCAAGCGCCTCATGCTCAACCTCCTCCATAATCTCCAACTCGGCCAACATGTCGTCAATCAGCATGCGCGATCCGTCCAGCATCTTCTCCAAGCTAGATTTCTCGTCCTCCTCCGGCGGCTCACAAAACTCGTCCCGACTCAGGTCATCGATATCGCTGAGCTGCTGCCTCCACTCGGTCAGAAGCTTGATGAGATCGCCACGCTCTTCTTTCCATCGGGCATCCAAGTCTTCAATGAACAAATTCTCGTTTCCTTGGGTGAGCATGACCCCCTTTCGTCTCGCGTCCTCCATCTCACTCACGCCATCGATCCAAATCTCGAAATGTCGCACCACACGAGCATATCGGCCACCTGGGTCGCTCAGCGACCATACATTCGTAACGATGGATTCCAGAGACTGGATCTTTTCGTCCAGTCTACCACCGCTGCCCCATCGTCGGAGTGCGAGCACGTTCCGCTTTTCCAGTGCTATACTCTCCTGCTCAGCAACCTCTCTGCTCTCTTCGCTCAGCTTCTGGAACCGGTTCCCCAGTTTCTGCTTGGCACTCGCTCGCCATTCGGCATCCACGGCGGGAGCCTCCTGGTGGAGCAGATACAGCTGTAGGAGCTCTGCTTGAAGCTTACTGACTTCAGCCGACGCAGCGATATTAGCTGGCAACTTGGAGGGCGAGGGAGGGGCGAGATGTGACGCCGAAGGCTTAGCGGACAGAGTCTTGCTTGGTGAGTTGTCCCGCTTTAAAGAAGAATTCGATGGTCTTTTCAGTTGCGACGCCTGGTCTGACGACAACAGCGTACCGGCAGAGGAAGGCTTCGAAAGCCTAGACACCACTCGACTAAAAGTCGCCAGTGACGGCTTACGAAACGACGATACCTTTTCGGTAGAGGGAGCTCGGCGTTCCAGCTTTGGTTGCCCCGTCGGCGTCGCAGCCCTACTACTGGCAGCCGAGTTTACAGACCGGGTGGTAGTTGGAGTTATAGACCGAGTCATGGAGTTCCGGGTCGCAGATCGGATAGTGTTAGTGAATGTGGCAGCGCGAGATAGCCTCCCTACGGAAGGCGATCTCGTCCGCGTCGAGGGAGGCGTCTTTGCCGTTGTTGAGGTAGGAGTAGGAGGCCCGCTTGAAGCCGAGAAAGTATTGGATCGAGGCAAGGCAGTTGGCGTTGCTGACCGGCGACCCGTCGTCGGTATGCCCGTTTGGGCCGTGGGCGTTGCAGGCCGCCGAATGGGATCTCTCGACCTCGAAGTGGCTTCTCTCGGCTTCACCACGGCCGGTCCAGCGAGGTTTGTGGCCGAGCTCCTTGTATACGCAAGTCCCGTCGACCTTCGCTCCAGTTCTCTAGGCTTTCCCTCCATTGAGATGCTCGCAGACCTCCCCCTCGTCTGGATGGACGGTCTGGTCATGGTCGTCGACGGTGGATACTTGTTGGTCGAAGCCGTCTTTTCCTTCCTCGCCATCACCTCCTTCGTTGCCATCGTCATCGATCTCGCCAGACGCCCAGGCACGGGCGGTGCACCAGGAGCCCTGGCGTTGGCGTTGGTGGCCGTGTTCTTCAAGCTGTTCGTCGAGCTGCTGGAGCTAGAAGCCACCGAGACGGATGAGACGCCGCCTCGGGCACCATATCTGGGCAGCCTACTAGGCGACGCATTTCGGGGCACCGACGCATCTCGAGTGCTAGACGATCTGATCGGTATCTGTGGGATGCCCGTGTTTGAGCGTACCGAACGCGAGCGAGGAATTGACGACATGGCGGTGACGCTGGAAGGTTGGGAATTTGGCGAGGATGAAGTTGAAGATGAAGCCGGCCTGCCCAACGGTGACATTTCACCTGAGCCTGTTAGTGCCCTACGCCGGTGATGTCAGGGAGCTTCAGGCGCTATAAGGGCCCAACTGCCGTACCTGGCTACTCCCGTTTGGGTCAGGCTCGCGTGCTGCAGACCCGGACTCCGCCAATTGGACTCAACCGATGCTCCATCTCGGCTTGCCCCTGATTTCAAGCATCGAGACTTGATGACTTGATCTCAAAAGGGTCGGGTGTTCATTATTTCTTTTACATAAAAATTTGGATATGAAAAATCTCTCGTGTTTTCATTTGCATCAAAGACGGTAATGTCATGTCATCCTTGAGTAATGCCTCAACGGCTAAGGTACATGTAGTCTATTTTCAATCACTCTCCTAGAGAGAACAAACCAGAGATACCCTGACTCATGTAAACAAATTCAAAGTTGCCCAAACCGTGGTCTGGCATGTCGATTTCCCTAAAAAACCATTGGAATTATCCTTTCCCATTCTCTTTGAACCAACGAGTGACTGAACCAATCCTCTTTAATGCTGTACATGTGAAATATTTCCGCCCCAATCTTGCGGGTAAGCCGAAAAAATGGTATCAAAAGTAAAACAGAGGGCCGAACCAGAGCTTCCTTTTATAGTACTTTGATACAAGTTTGCGTTGAGAAAACAAAAAAAAAAAGAGACTGATGAAGACATTCGTACTCCAGATCCCATGACAGTAATGTTTCTTGTCATGATAAAGTAATAATAACAGAGGAGGAGAAGAAGAAGAAGAAGACGACGAAGGAAGGAAAAAAAGTGGGTGGGCGGAATAGGGGTATCATGAGAGTATGTGGCGGGGGAAAATTAGGAGATATGCGGCGTCATGGTGTTGGCTACAACCCCAGGGCTGTGCCAGGGCGAGAGGAAGACGCGAGTCCTGCAGGTCCGGCACTGGCCAAGACGTCAACTAAACGGCGGAGATCCCGTTGATAGCTGCCCAGCCTGCGATAGCAACCGTCGCATATCCGAAGATGGCAGAAAGCACACACCCAGCGATCTTCGACGTCTGCTCGGTCGCAAATTTGACAGGTCAGTGGGCAGTTCCGGTTGCTTCGGCGAGCCATGGTCCTGTGTTGTTGAAAACAACTGAAATGCATGTCGGTGAGGGGTCTCGCCTTGATGATGCCATCTCTGGGTAGGCCTGGATACGTCTGCGTGGGAAAATACGCCGCGTTGGGATGAGGTTCACCCTCGGTTTTCATCTCAGCATATAGCGTGCCATCACGACCCCGATACAGTAGCCCTTGTGTTTCTGATTGTAAAAGTCGTGGGTCTGCCGTCGCTTGAGGCTCTCTGCGCTGTGGCTTCACCGTTTGGGGAGCATCTGCTCGGATCACGGCAGGCTGGGGCTGGGGTTGAAGCTGCACAACAGTTGTGTCCCCAGAACCACGTGAGCGGGTAGATGCATCATCTTTGGGAGAAGAAGCCGCTGGCGCAGTTATCGCAGCGGGCGTAGCGTCATCCTTTGGTAATGTTGAGGGTGCAGCCGCTCGGCTAGATGAAGATGCGCCGGTACTATTCGCATCAGACGGCGGGCGAAAGGAATTCTTGACAGCTGAAAAGTCCTGGCTAGGGCTTGTCGGCAGGGCTTTTCGCGATATGGGTTTTTGAGAGCTTGCTGTCGCAGTCAGGTTACCGTTGGAAGGCTTTGGCGGGAGTCCCTTTGAAAAATCCGGGGAAGCACCCCTTGGAGCCTCGGGAGATGATGCCGGAGACACGGGAGAGACGAAAGGCTCGACAGCCGGCACTTTGACCTCTTCCTTCTGATACTCTGGTGTTGGCGGTCGCTTGGCAGTTGGGATGCCGGGGAAACCAGCTTTCGCACCAGGAGTGCTGGATACCGACTCGGACCGCTGAGAGCCAAGTCTTTCTTTGATCTGCTTCAGCTTGGATGTTTCGCCCCCCATGGCTTGCGTGGCAGGGGGCGGCTGGTCCTTGGCCGGCAACGAAGGGCGAATATTGCGGCCAGGCAATCCGCCGGCAAACGGAGGAGCTCGCTGGGCTGCGGCTTTGGCCGTGTCGGACGGTGCTTCGGACGCCGTCTCGGGTTCAGCCGCGTCCGGGGGAAGCTGTGTATCTGCGGTTGATCCGTGGCTGTAGTCGAGCTTGAGGCCAGGGAGGTCTCTGCTGGCTTGGCTCATGTGTGGCCGGCGTTTCCAGATCTCGGGGCGAGGAGATGATGGAGCAGTCAGCTCTGGACTGTCTGGTCTTGGAACTGGAGGCGTTGGTTTGTCGTCTTTGTCTTTGACTTTGTCTTTGGGGGGTGGTGGAGGGAGGGTTCCAGTTCGCTCAGCAGGGCGCTGGGAGTGGCCAATGCCGGCGTTGGGGCGAGCAGGCAGTGAGCCACTGCCGCCTGTGACGGTGGCGGCTGGAGCTCTGGCAGGCGCAGCGTCTGGTTTTTCGCTACCAGATGCTGCGACTTCCTGTCCGTTTTCGCCCCTTTCACCCGCGCTGCTCTGCTGCGACTCGTCGCCATCTTCCATGTACGCCAGCAGGAGGCTCGACAGGGAAAAGGTCGGCGATGGCTGAGCCAGGAATTGCGTCGTCGGCGCCGGCAGCTGCAGGTTTGCGATGGGTTTCCGCGGGATCGACATCATGGACCGGCCGCTCAAGGGCGGCGACTGCAGACTCCCCGAGACAGAGCTGCTGGGCGAGAGCGAGGGCGCCGCAATGCTGATTTGGTTGCTCGTGTTGTCGTAACTCGGTGTCTTGTTATTAATGTTCTTATTCAGGCTGTCTTTGCTGGCTCGGCTCGGCTGCGGCGTTGTCGGCGGCGTCTTGGTCGGCGGCGCGGGAGGCAGCGGAGGCAGCGGGAGGTTCTTTGTGGGCGGCGGCGACGCGAGCGATGAGGTTCTCGCCGGGAGACTAAACTCGCTATTCGTTCGATTACGATGATTGTTACTGGTCACGGCGGTGCTCTCGCTGTCGTCGTCGTCGAAGCCGTCGAATCCGGGGACTCCAGGCAGCGCCTTGGAGAAGCGGGATACGCCGCTTTTAGGGACTGAAAGATCGGATTGCCGCGACATCGTGGCCCAACACTCTGACACGGCGAGAAAAACAACGACAGCAAAACGGCAGAGCGGTCGAGACCGAGTTCAACACGACGTTCGCATGCGCCTGTACTAGCTTGAGACGATGGGCAACGCCCCTGTGAGGCTCACGGCGGGCAGCAGGAGTGTTTTGCCGGTATTGCGCAGCTCCGATGAGTGCGCATTGGGAAGAATTGGCAGTCCATGGGCAGAAGCAGGCAGAAATGCTGAGACGAGGAGGCCGTCCTAGGTTGTTTTAGATTCCGAGCGAGTCCCTGGCTAATACAACTTTGGCGGGATGGCGGCAGCCAATATGCGGGAGCGGCGATGAAACGGGCATCATGACATGGGGCTGGTGGCGCCTCGGCGGGGACGCCATTCTGCATTGTCCTTGCAGATGACAGGGCTGGATTGGATTGCTGGAATGCATTGGATGTCGTCGCAGGTGGACAGGGATCGAGTCTGCGATCCTCTGCAAGAGACGCAGCTTGGCAGGGCGATGCTGCACCCGACAGCACCTACAGCATTACGAGTCCTCCCACGTCTATCGATCTATCCGCGTGTACTGCATAGTTCACAGGCATGGACTATTCATTCATTCATTCATTCATTCGGCACCAGTCATCTATTACACTTGGCCAAGGTATTTTGACGTTGTCAATGGCAAATCCATCTGCACCTAAGATGATCTGCCACTGATGACAGCCACGTCAAAACTTGATCTCATTTAGGCTCAATCGTGTTCGTGACGCTCACAGAGGCGCCACGACGTCATTCACATGTTAGCGCATGAAAGTGATGCTGGTTTCTCGTCACGTAGGAGCAAGCGGGAAGGGAAGTGATGCAGTTTTGTCGCCTCTCAGCTGGACAGGCATAGCATCCATGCTGCGCGGTGGCTGAGAAACCAGCTGGTGTCTCCCATTAGCCACTCACCAGCTTGCGCCACCAACAACAGATGGCTGGGCAAGAAGACAATTGAACGTTGAACGGACTGACGTCTTCTCCTTTGACTGCGGCCTACAGCATATACTCTCAACTGTGTTTTGACTCGACTTGTCATTGGCAAACCGACAAATAACGTTGGCGGCTCCCCGCATGTGGAGGAAGGCTGGCTGCAGGCGCACGG